AGCCGCGGCGCTGGTACCGACAAAGACCCTCCTCCATGACCCCGTCCACGCTCCCTGGGCCCTCGAGCAGCTGCTGGGGGTTCGTGGCCTGGTGGGTGACCCAAACCTTTGCTCCTGTCGGGTCTGAGCCTCAGCCGTCGGGCCCGAGGGCATCGCTGTGGCCGTCCGCCGGCTTGGAGGACGAAGAACACCTGGGTTCTCTAGTTCCTCACCCGTGAGAGTCGGGCCCTGCCACCCCCGCTTTGGGCCTGAAGAGTCCCAAGTGGCCAGGCCACAGCCTCCACCGACGGCCCCAGGGAGCCTCACTGCGTCCCCGCGAGGAAGCTCTCTTCCCCTCGGGACTGAGCCCTCTAGAACCGAGAGTCACAGAACAGGAAGCACAGACTCTGCGGGGCATCAGGAGAGGTAATAGGGAGAGGGGCCACCCCATTCGCACCCCTCGATTCCAGATCCAGCAATCCTGGAGCGAGAGCAACGCGGGTTGCGGAGCCCAGACCGTGTCCCAGGAGACATCGCCCCCACCCTGCCCCGCGCGGGGTTGCCACCTAGCTGGCACAGTAACTGAGTCTTCAAAAGGCCGTCAAGCACACCTCTTAGACTCTGCCCAAAGCATGCAACGCTGACAACAGCACATGGGGCTGAGGATGTGGAATGACAGGAGCTCTCGCTCACGCCAGTGGGAATTCAGAATATGGCGCAGCCACTTTGGAAGATGGTTTGATTATTTCTTACAAAACTAAGCATCCGCTTACCATACGCTCCAGGAGCACGCTCCTTGGTACTTACCCAAAGGAGCTGAAAACTCATGTCCACACAAAAGCCTGCACACGGATGTTTACAGCAGCTGTATTCATAGTTGCTGAAACTTGGAAGCAACCAGGATGTCCTTCAGCAGGTGACGGATAAATAAACGGTGTCCCACACAGACAATGGAATATTATTCAGCACTAACTGAAATGAGCTATCAAACCATGAAAAGACACAGAGGAATCTGAAATGCATTTAACTAGTGAAAGAAGCCAGTCGGAAAAAGCTGTATGAAGCCACCTCTATGACACTCTGGAAAAGGCAGAACTATGGAGACAGTAAGTAAGAGGATGGGCAGCTGCCAGGGGGCAAAGGGGCAGAGGGATGGGTAGGCAGAGCACAGGGGATTTTTAGGGCCAGTGAAACCACCCTGTATGCTATTCAACATGCATGTCCTATACGTATTCTGTTAAACTCACACCTCGGTGTGTGCTTGAGTGATTGTAGGTGCTGTTGTACTTTAATTGCAGGGCCTGCATGTCCACCGCTAGGGTATAGGAACATGACTGGTATTAGTATGTTGTTATGCTCTCTGACCTCGCTGAACTCACTGGCTTTTTTGTAGGTTCTGTAGGATTTTCTCCCTAGGTCATCGTGCTGCCTAGGGAGAAAGTAGACAGTTCCACTTCTTGTCCTCCCACCTGCATGCTCCTTTCTCTTGCCCCGTCACGCCGAGTAGACCCTCCAGCACAATGCTGAACAGAAGTGGCGACAGTGGGTATCTTTCCTTTTTCCTCATCCAGAGGGAAAGCATTCCGTCTTTTGCCATTTAAGTATGATGTGAAGTGTGGTAATTTCATATACGCCCTTTATCAGGTTGAGGAACTTGTCCTCCATGCTTGGTTTGCCAAATTTTTATTGGGGATGGATGTTAGATTTGCCAGCCACTTTTTTTTTTTTTTTTGCATTTTTCAGGTAATCATATGGTTTTTCACTTTGCTCTATGAATATAGTAATTTACATTGGTTGATTTTCAAATGTAAACAAAACTTGCATCCCTGGAAAAAACACTACTTGGTTACGATGAGTTATTCTTTTTAAAAAATCTCGTTGGATTCAATTTGCTAAGCTTTTGTTAAGAATGCCTGCCTATCTGTTCATGTCCAATATTGCTTTGTAGTTTTATTTTCCTGTAATGTCCACATTTTGCTATCCAGCCCTGCTGGTTTCACCGAATCCATATATTTGTACAACGGTGTCATGTCCAACGCTTGCCCGCATTCCTTGAGGCTCACATGGATGCTGTGCTTGGGTCTCCGGCCATTAGTCCAGAGCCACTAAACTGACTTTGCCACCCACTGGGGGGTCTCCCCCTGCACGATGGCCTGTCCACAGAGCAGCTCCTCCTGTTCTCGAAAGCCAGCCCTTCGCATCGGTCCATGATGCTGTTTACTTATTCATTTATTTATTTTTTTTGCATGTTTAGTTCTTAGCTCAGGGGAGCCCAGGTGGGGCCTTTCTCCCGCCCTGACCTGTTCCGCCGGGCTCTGCCTGACTCTTCGGCTAGGGTCCTCAGCTAAGGAGGGCTACCCCTGGAGGACTAGACCAGAACCACTTGGAGCCACGTTTAGAGTTTGAAAAAAACATGTTTTATATTTTCTTCACATTTTATTTATAAAATAAGTCCCACTAAAGCCAGATCATTCTCACGTTTCATGTCTAAATAAAAGAGGGCTCAAAAACTGTTATCTGCAAGGAATCCACCCAAATCAAGAAACACAAAAAACAACGTAGGTGCCAATGGTCTTTATTTCCAATAAGCGAAAACCCAAGTCGCATATAATCTTGATTTTATTTTCTTTTTTAAACATGGTAAATTTCACCATACTGCGTGATTTTGCTGCTCAAAGTGGGGTCAACTGATCAGCGGCACACACGTCAGCTGGGGGCTCCTTAGAAAGGTGGCATTCCGGATCCCACCTAGGCCTGCTGAATTAGAATCTGCTTTTAAACAAGATCCCCAGGGCGAGCCGGTGCACATTACGGTCTGTGTTGATGTCACGCTTAGAATCTTCTCAAAGATTTTATCGATATCATCCTATATATTTAGTAGTTGTATAATTTTCTTTTTAAATTTAGGTATTTCGATGATCTGAAACTAATTTTTATGTTAGGTGTGAGAAAAAGTGATCTTCCCCCCACACACACACCTGATACATTTTATTGAGTAAGTGGTCCATCATTTTCCTACTGGGGACATATTAAGTGGACAAAAAGAAAAGCATATATATATATATATATATATATATATATATATATATATATATATATTTTTTTTTTTTTTTTTTTTTTTTTTTTTTGGCTGTGCCATGTGGCACGTGGGATCTTCGTTCCCCTACCAGGGATTGAAACTGCACCCCCTGCAGCAGAAGCACGGAGTCTTAACCACTGGACCTCCAGGGAAGTGCAGGATGATCTTATATTGTTCAAAGAAAAGATACTGCAGAAGAAATGAAGAGCACTCCATAGATGTCTGAGCTCTGACAGAATGAGCGATTCAGAGCCTGATGGAAGAAAACTGTGCCTAAATCACAGGCCTTTCTTTAAACCACGTGGTTCCTATACAGAAAACAACCACTGGTTGAGATGGGGGTAAGGGTGAGAGGTGGGTACAGTAATTATTTTGAGCCCGCAAAAATAATTCTTCTAAAGACCACCTATTCTATGATACCATTTATAGGACGTACCCAGGGTTGGCAAACCCATAGGGACAGAAAGAAGGTTAGTGGGTAGGGAGTGCTAATGGGTATGGGATTCCTTGGGGTGATGAAAATGTTCGAAAACTGATTGTGGTGATGGGATGTGAATACACTAGCACTGAAGAGCACACTTTAAGAGGATGAACCCATATGGCATGTGCATTCTAGCTCATCATTGGCCAGTGTTTGTCGAGTGCATTGATTACACGAGCCCTGCCAGTTCTAGGAGGAACGGTGCACCACGTGTATTTATTTATCTGACTGAGTTTTCACCTACGTACAGCCTGCCTTGTCACACCTGTATTTGGGGCCGCTGTCTCACCTGTCTACTGTTCGGGCTTACTGTAGGCCTCGTGTCCCGAGAAGGGGGGGACCGCACGGCACCCCGTGGATACGTGGACTCGTGGTGAAGTGTTACCTGGAGAGGCGCCTCTTGCATGCGCCCTGATACCCGGCCATGCCCCGGGAGGCCCCGCGGACACTCGACCCAGGTGTCTGACCCTCGGACACTGGACTCGGGCGTTTGGCCCCTTGGACATTGGGATCCGGGCGGCCCGGCCCTGCGGACACTCGACCCGGGTGGTCTGGGCCCTCAGGCACTGGACTTGGACGGCCCGGCCCCGCGCGCCGCAGCCTCGCCGCCCGAACCCCGCGCCCCCGACCTGCGCGCGTAGCTCTGGACGGGGCGCCGCGGCGGGGGCGGGGCGGGCGGTTGGTGTGGCCGGGCCGTG